TACGCGCCAATGTCCGCGCGATTGGACCCGTTGCTTGCGTCGCCCATCTGATTTGTTCCATCCCGGCGCCTTTGTTCAATTTCCCATTCCGACTTCCCATTCGACTTCCCGGCTTCCCATTCGTTCCCCTACATCCTCGACTTCCCATTCGACTCCCCTATTTGCTCGACTTCCCATTTCGACCACCAGAGCACTGCCTGCGACACAGCACTGCCCCCAGGAAGAGGGGGCCAGGAGCTCTGGGTCCGCGGATGGAACAACAAACCTCGGAGGATGGGAGCGAGGAGGAGGAGGAGGAGGAGGAGGAGGAGAAGAAGGAGGAAGAGGAGAAGAAGGAGGAGAAGCGAGGAGGAGGAGGAGGAGGGGGAGGAGGAGGAGGAGAAGCGAGGAGGAGGAGGAGAAGGAGAAGGAGGAGGAGGAGGAGGAGGAGGGGGGGGAAGAGAAAGTCGCCTGTACTCAGGTGGGATGCCTGACCGGCAGCGGGCCTAGCTTTGCCTGCCGGATTCTTCTCTGAAGGATTTTTTTAGCTCTCCAGTTGGGGCTATCTGGGACTTGGTCTCGCCAACTAGCGAGCTGGAGCTCCAGAACTACTCTGGCTTCCGTAGCCTCGCACTCTGGGGAGCTTCACGAGTCCTCCCCCTGGATGTTGAGAATTACCCTTCTGAAGGGCGGCCCCAGATCGTGTTGTACCAGGGTCCTCCTGCCGATACTGGCCCGGGTGGACACCGGACCGACAACGAATCTCCTGCTGGGACCGCGGGTTCAGCGATCGAGGGATGCAGGAGGAAGGGAGAAGGGGAGGAGAGAGGGAAGAGAGGGAGGAGGTGTCTATACTTGAGATCGTCACATACCACAGCCTGACGTGTGAGGGAGGAGGGAGGGAGGAGGGATGGAGGGAGGGAGAGAAGGAGGGATGGGAAGAGAGGGGGGAAGAGAGGAACAAAGAAATGGTATGTCCTGATTTTGCCAATACGGGGTCCCCGGAAGTTGCGAACCCTTGTCCAGGGCCAGTCTTCCATCCGGAGCCGTTTCTGGACGGTCCCGGGTCCCAGCCACAGGCCCTCAGAGGCCGAACGCTGAGAAAAGCCTCGGGCCTGACTTTTTTTGTCAGAACGCTGCATGTCTGGGAGAGCAGCCGTCGCCGCCACGACATGAGGGAAGCAAGGGAAGAGGGAAGAGAGGGAGGGGCAGGGGAGGGGAGGGCAGGGCGGGAGGGACGGGGAGGGAGAGGAGCAGGGGAGGGAGGAGGACGAGAAGGAGAAGGGAGACGGGAGGGAAGGAGGGACGGGAGGAGAAAGGGAGCGACGAGAGGGGAGGAGACCAGGGAAGAGAGGGAGGAGGGAGGAGGGAGGGAGAAGGGGAGAGCGCGAGGGTGGAAGGGAAGAGGAAGGGTGGGAGGGAGGAGCGCAGGAGAGGAGGGGAGGGGAGGAGGAGCGCGTTTGGTTCATTTTCGGCGAGAACGGGCGTATCAGGGGGGAGGGCGGGGCGGGGGGGGGTATGACGCAACGCCTCCCCCCCCCCCCCCGCCGCGCGGCTCCCGCACCGCAGCCGCGCCCGCGCGCACGACGACGACGAGCGACGGGCGACGAGCGACGAGCGACGACAACGACGACGACGACGACGACGACGACGACGACGACGACGACGACGACGACGACCACGACCACGACAACGACGACGACTCGGGGGGCAGGAAATGGTAGCGCCTCCGCGTGCACCACGGCGCCTGCGCGCACGAGCCACGACCGGGGGGGCCACGAGCCACGAAGCGTTCGGCGCCAGATCTGCGTGCGCCGCGGTGCCCGCGCGCACCACGTGGCCTGCGTGCACCGCTGGGGCAATATATGGGGCCCCGACGGGACCCAATGCCAGAAAATCGAGGAGAGGGGATTGTGGAGTATGCGGTCTGCCAACCGAAACGTGAGGGAGGAAGGAGGAGGAGGAGGAGGAAGAGGAGGACGGATCTCTGTGAATGGGCCGGAAGGAGGAGGAGGAAGAGGAGGACGGATCGAGGAGAATGGGGGGGGCGGCCGAGAGTAGCAAATCCAATGTGTGAACTGACTGTGGTTATTGTTTTCCCTTGCCCTGCGTGCACCCCTGCACTTTGAGCCAACGGCGCCCACTGCGCGCACCACAGCGCCCGCGAAAAGCAATGGCAAGGAATTGGGAGGAATGGGGAAGGCATGCAATGGTAGCGCTTCTGCGTGCACCACAGCACGTGCGCGCACGAACCACGACACGTGGCCACGAGCCACGAAATGGCTTGGCCCAAAAGGCCAATCATTTCAGCACCATCTTGGCGCCTCTTGGCGCCGAAATGGCTTGACCCAAAAATGGCGACGCGGAGGAAGAGGGGGAGGAGGCGAAAGGGGAAGGAGGAGGAGAAGGAAGAGGAGAAGGAGCAGGAAGAGGAGAAGGAGGAGGAAGAGTTTTCACCGGGAACACGAAATCACAATGTCAGATCCATATGAGGATCCCAGTGCGGGTCCGAAATGCGAATGCCTATGCGGCTATGCGGATCCCTAGGCGGATCCCTATGCGGATCCCTGCGCGGATCCCTATGCGGATCCCTGCTCGGATCCCTATGCGGATGCTTATGCAAATCCCGATGCGGATCCTGATGCGGATGCCTATGCGGATGCCCATGCGCATTGCCATGCGGATCCCTATGCGAATCCCAATGCGGATCTTTACGCGGATTCCTATGCGCATGATTCCCGTGAGATTCCCGTGAAATTCCCAATGCGGACCAGACTCCTATGCGGACTCCTATGAGGACGCCTATGCGGATCTCGATGCGCACGGCGACAATGCCCGGAGCGCACTGGGGTGGGGTGGGTGGGGGGGGGGGGCGATACGTCATACGGGTGGGAGAGGGGGGGGGAAGGCCGGGGGCTATAGCGCCCGCCTTGCCCCAAGCAAGAAAGAGACACGCTCGCGCGGAGCAGAGACGGGGAGGAGGAGGAGGAGGAGGAGGAGAAGGAGGAGTAGGGGGAGGAGGAGGAGGGGGGGGGAGGGGGAGGGGGAGGGGGGAGGAGGAGGAGAGAGGAGGAGGAGGAGGAGGAGGGAGGAGGAGGAGGAGGAGGAGGAGGAGGAGGAGGGGGAGGAGGAGAAGGAGGAGGAGGAGGAGGAGGAGGAGGAGGAGGAGGAGGAGGAGGAGGAGGAGAACGAGACATGCTCGAGGGGCGCAGCCCCCGCCGCCACGGGAGGGCGGCCCCCCCCCAGCTTCCGCGCCTGTGGCGCCCACGTCCATGAGGCCCCCCCCCGTCGCGCCCACGAAGAGCACGTCGCCCACGCGGATAACCCGGTCCAGCCTCTGGCGGCCGCGCGCGGGGGGCGAGGCACGCCGGGCCGCTGCAGAGCGCCCTGCAGCAGCTCGGGGAGCACCGCTCTGAAGGGGCCCCCCAGGACACACAGATAAATGCACACAAATAAACAGATGCCCCATAGTTTCTCCTATTTTCCGGGTTTTTGTCTCCCCCCCACACTGCCCATATTTTCCTATATGTTCCTGGGAATGTGTGTTTTTTTCCCTCCTGACACTCCCCAGACACACACACACACACACACTCGCGCTGGGACAAAAACTCACCACGGGAGGCCCTGCCCTGTCTTCGGCCCCCGGCGGCCCCCTTCCCGGGCCCCGCGGGGCCGCCAAAGAGAGCGCTTCGGGAGGGAGACCGGCCCCCGAGAAGGGGCCCGCACTCGGGGGGCACGTCGTGCAATCATCACGGCGTCGGGGGCCTGGGCCGGGAACGCTCTCGAAGCAGTGTGTCTGTCCTGCCCCGCCCGATAAGAAGGCCGGAAGGGGGGAGAGAGCGAGGAGCTCCCTGCGGAGGGGAGGGGCCGTACAGTCAAGACGTGTACCGAGGACGGGCGGGTAAGGGCGCCGCGGGACCCTCGGAGGCCGCAGTCGGGATTTTTGGGGGGGGGCGGCGGGCGACCAGGGAGAACGGCACAGGACGGGCCGCAGAGGCAAGGGCACAGGGGCAGCCTAGACGAAGGCGCGCGTCGAGTCCTTACCGGGCGCGTTGACTGCAGTTCGTCTTGCAGCTGAGGAGGGATCGCGGCCACCACAGTGCGACGCGTCGGCTGCGCGTGTGGCCGCCGTGCGGATGAGAGAGTCGCCAGGCAGACCCGGAACGCCCCACGAGCCGACCTGCTGTAGACAAACTCGTGCGAAGAACCTTGGCCTGGGAGAGACACATTGAACACCAACAACATGACACCAAGAGCCGAGGAGGAGGGAGCGTAGATGGACAAACAAATGTAACCCTTCACTCCACCTCATCCCCTCCCCTCCCCCCGAATTCCAAGTTAGTCCCATGCATTTGGGCAGCACAGGCATGAGAGGACAAAACCAGTACAAATCCAAGGGCCTCCGCGATGCCCAACCCAAGTTTGAATCTGGGGGAAGGAGATTCCTGTGGAGGGGAGGGGTCTAGAGCTCCCAGATAGGGTCGGAGTAGATAGGGACGGAGGATCGCGCCGCATCGCCGATGCATCGGCGAGGCGGCTTGATGCGGAGCCCGATTTTCTTCAAGCCGACGTCGCCGATGCGTCGACGTTGCACCGCCGATCGATGTACTGGCGATGCGGCGCGATCCTCCGACCCAATCTGCTTGAACCCTATGTGGGACGCCTCTCAGGGTGTGCCACGACATGATTTCGTCGTGAACAGATCAGGCATCGGATTTTGAGGTTCGAGGACCGCGGTTTTCTCGAACCCAATTTGGGATGCCTCTCAGGGTGGGCCACGACATGCTTTCGTCGCGAACAGATCAGGCATCGGATTTTGAGGCTCGAGGTCCGCGGTTTTCTCGGACGTGCCTCGAGTTCTGCGTGCTGGCAGCTGCGCCTCGCCGAGGGCGCTCCGGAGGCGCGCAGGGACCGCCCCGCACGGATGCTGGAGAGCCGAGCTGTGGCCCGAAAGCCCAGGCATGCTCGCATCGTAAAGAAATCACCATGGAAGCATCCTCTTCCTCCTCCTCCTCCTCCTC